GATGCTGCCCAGATATGTAAAGGTTTTTACATCTTCCAAACCTTCTCTGTCAATTGTGATTGGATTGGTGCATGCTGTGTTGTATCGGAGAACCTTGCTCTTCCCTTTGTATATATTGAGACCTATTGCTGCTGAGGCTGCTGCTACACTGGTTGTCTTCTCCTGCATTTGTTGTTGCGTTTGGGATAGAAGGGCCAGATCATCTGCGAAATCTAGATCGTTCAACTGCATCCTATCTGTCCATTGTATCCCGTGCTTCCCTTCAGATGTTGACGTCTTCATGATCCAGTCGATCACCAGGAGAAAGAGAAAGGGTGGGAGTAAGCAACCTTACCTAACACCGGTCTTCACTTCGAACGACTTTGTCAACTGTCCTCCATGCGCGATTTTGCAGTGTAAACCATCATATGAATTCTGTATGTATTGAATATCTTCTGAGATACATCCTAGAGTCGAAGAAGCTTCCATAGTGTTGTTCTGTCCACGCTGTCAAATGCCTTTTCGTAGTCAATGAAGTTGATGTAGAGTGATGAATTCCATTCAATTGATTGTTCCACAATGATCCGTAGAGTTGCGATTTGGTCTGTAAACGATCTATCCTTACAGAATCCTGCCTGTTGGTCACTAAGTTTTGGGTCTACGGAGTTCTTTATCCTGTTTAATAAAACCCTGTTAAATACTTTTCCTGGTATTGAGGGAAGAGTGATGCCTCTATAGTTATTACAGTTGCTGAGATCGCCTTTTGGTACTTTGTTGAGAAGTCCTTCTTTCCAGTCTGTTGTTACTTGTTCCTCATCCCAAATCTTATTGAAGAGAATGTGGAGTATCCTTGCAGTTGCCGATACGTCTGCTTTTAGTGCCTCTGCTGGAATGTTGTCTGGTCCTGCTACTTTGACACTTTTGATTTGTCTGATGGCCATGCTGATTTCTTCAATTGTTGGTGGGCCAACATCGATTGGGAGGTCCGTGGGTGCTGCTTCGATGTTGGTTGGGTTAAGTGGGGCTGGTCGATTCAAGAGTTCTTTGAAGTGTTCTACCCACCTGTTTCTTTGCTCTTCAAAGTTAGTGATTACCTTTCCTTCCTTGTTTTTCACTGGTCGTTCAGGTTTGCGGCGATTTCTAGAGAGTTTCTTTGTTATGTCATAAAGTTGTCGCATGTTTCCTCCTCTTGCAGCCTTTTCCGCCGTCGTTGATAAATCTTTCACATATTTAGGTTTGTCATTTCTGATGTTGCTCTTCACTTTCTGTGTATTCAGCTTCCGCCATGGCTTTCTCTGCTCTGGTATTAATTGCTGCCTTCTTATGAATTCTTTCTTGAATCATATCACGTGTATCAAGAATGATCCATTCCTTGTGATGGTACTTCTTGTGGCCCAGACCTCATGACATGTTGAAATGATCGCCTCCTTGATCCCTTTCCAGTTGCACTCCACAGTAGTTCCCTTTTCACTGAATAGATTATGAAAGGCCTGGAACTTATAGCTGAGGGCTATCTTGAATTTGTTGAGTTTATCAATATCCCGAAGAAAGGCCGCATCAAACTTTTGTAATATTGTCCGCCCCATTGTCCAGTACTTATTGAGTTTCACTTTCATCTTGGCGAACAGCAAGTGATGATCTGATGGCATATCAGCTCCTCTCTTGGTTCTCATGTCCTCCATCGTCCTCCTGAACTTTCTGTTGATGCAGATATTGTTGATTTAGTTTTGTGTAGTGTGATCCAGTGAAGTCCATGTTGAGTATATTATTCTATCCCTAGTCCAAACATGTCCTGTAGAAGTGCTAGACGCCATTTTGGTGATTGTCACGAAATGACGAGTCAATTTAAGTAGCGGTTTGACTTCCACATAAGATCTTGTAGATTTGGTAGTTACATCAAGACAAATCGACAATGTTATAATTAGGTCTACTATTCAAATATTGAAGATGAATGTACTAATACCGAACTAAACCATAATACTACAGACTAATATCTAGAGGGCAAATGGGTATTGGACACAACCGTACATGACTAACAGTTTTTCTCCTGATTATCGATTCACAATTAGTCTTCCGTTTGCTCGAGAAACTCATAATAGGATGTGGATGTCGTCTCTTAACTTGATGGAAAATCTCAGTGCAGGAAACTGCTGTCATATATTTGATTGTTACCAAAGACTGACGTTCAGCGAAATGTAATTAATTCCTGTATGCTACCGCACTTTGATTTCCGGGAGAATTGTTTTGACCAACATATGGGGAACCAACTTACCAGGAAAAAGGCTCGCATCTGCAAAGTGATTAAAGTGGACCTCTTGAACTTGGCGTTACTTACCCGACGTTCGATTCATCCGAACCCAATATATAGTGCACAATTTGTGCCCGTCACTGTAGCTCAAGCTGCCAACACTAAATTTCATTAAATCAAACCATGAGGTGCTATATAAATCTTCGTTCGAACTTCTATTTCAAGAGTATGAACATGTTGTGGATGCGAAGGATGGACCAATAATTATCATGTTAAGTCCAATGGTGTCCTTGAACTTTAAATGGACATTTCCTATTGGTCGATATCTGTTCACTTGTTGAATATTGTACAAAATGTTGTTTTCTATTTTTATGGTACGATGTGGTATGTTTGGTTAGTATATAAATAGAGTATGTCTGAAATACAATGATTCATAACTCAGAGGCTGAGATTTGTGTTCTGGACTCAACTGGCTGGGATAGACAGGGAAGTGGAACCAATCGTAACTCTAGGTCGTCCATTACGTTCGTACGTGTTTACGTGTCATTGAATCGGTCGATAAATACGCTGTTCTCTAGTTTTTCCAGTCAATGACACAGCAGTTAGCACAGGGTAGAAATCAACCACAACTTAAAGTTACAACAGAACATTACCGACTTCACTTTTAGCCTACGGTTGAAGTTCACAAAACACCTGTGTGGTTAAGGGAATAATTTCAGTCAAACACCTTTACAAGTCAATTTTGTAACAAGCAACAAAGTAAATCCTTGGTAGTTACGCAGTAAAATAACCAGCTGTCATTAAATTTTATCACAACTTGTTATGTTCTGTCCCATACTGACCATTAACACTTGCCCAATCACCAATCAGAATCCTACTATTGATTTGGTTTATTACTTAATGTATAGTTTAGTGTTTGTGTCTTAGACAATCACACGCTTGACCAGTATTATTGACCCTGAGCCAGCAGCCGAGTTCCTATCTTTCGACCATTCGCAAGCTCCTCCATGTTGCCAGCCTCCAGTTTAAAAGTCAGCATCCAGTTCCTACTATATTTGTATTTCAAACATATATGATTGTATACATATATACCGAAGCGCATGACGCCATAAAATAAAAACAACAATCATACGTGAGCAAGTCAAAAATGGGTGTGAATAGGGAAAACTGTAAGTCGTCGACTAGAAACAAACTATAAACAGTAAATCGTATAAACCTAGTCCATGGGTTGATTGGAAGCTGAAATGCAGAAACCCGACGAAAGCTCAGGCAATCATTACTGTTAATCATCAAGTGTTGTTCGTGATGTGGTTGGTATCTAAATGATGCTCATACTGCTCCTCTTTAGATAGATCTTTGTCATTTTTTCAAAGGTTTTTATCTGGCCATTTAAGTTCATGAATTTTGCTGAGAAGCTTAGCATATGTTGTACATTACATTGTAGCCTTAAGAATCACATATGCTCAATGACACCATCGCCTAACTTGTATGAACTAAATATGCCATTGTTTGTAATTCAGCAGTGAAAATGCTTTCTGTTGGCCAAGTCACATATGGTCAGATGTTCTTCTGAATGTCAACAAAGTTGTTTGTGAAGAATATTCGGATACTGCAATTTGATTCTTTCATCACAATTTTTCCGAAGTCAACGAAAAGATAAAATTTAGTTTGAAAACTATACTTGGATAAAGGGCATAAGTATAGTGACCTGTGACTCCTATAATGATCAGTTAGACTATATATATTCCACGTAATGTTGAAAGCCTTAAGGTGCTGATGTTTGATAAAGTCTCGGGGGTGTCTGTGGTGAAACTAAAATGGTCATTATCAGTGTTAAATGCCTTAAAAGTAATTTATTTTATGGGATTTTTCACTTCAGTAGTTGTGACCTGGTTGAAGGAAGTATAATTAAGAACTAGGGCTGAATTTAGAAGCAAAGTATATTATTCAGGAGATAATCAGCAAACTAAATGTATTGACACCAGGAAAATAACACTACAGTCTAGAAAAGTGTTTCTAATCAATATTTAGAAAATTGTCTCTCTGTGAATTCATCATTAGGATGACCTGGATTACTAAGTATGATGCAGTCACAGTATGATAGTTTACTGTATTTCTCTAACTTAGTAGAACGGTCTCAATTGACCCAGACAGTCATCAAACATTTTATCTTTTGCCAACGTAACTGTGATAATTAAGAATATTTGAATAATTGTACAATCTCAGAATCCCAGAAATACTGCGATTTCATCAAGAAGTTTTAGATGAACACGAACAAACGTATTGTATTTGGAATTGAAATCAAGTAGTCAACAAGCACGAAGAGATGATTGGTTCATACAAACACCACAATAACGCCTTTCGTTTCACAGGACTTCCACAGCAAATTTTAAGTATGAAGCTGGTAGCGTCAGCTGGAATTGTGAAGTTAAGTTGGTCGCATGCTCTTTTTAATTGTTATCTATGGCTTTCATTTTTATGTTTGGGTGAGCTCTAAATACATACTTAGTCATCGGCTCGCTTTTTCTTTTGTTCTTCTTTACTTTAGTTCTCTTCCCTCACACTCATTCAACACCCAAAGTACCTTCTAGTTCGATGGGAACCATTACATCAACCGACCCTAAAACGGACATATTTCCGCTTTGTATACGTCAAAAACTCTGACTAAACAATTTTGTTTTGATAATTGGTGTAAAATAACAATAGTTTCAGGGATACAAAATAGAAATAATAATTCGTACAGCATATTGTTGAATGTTTTAATGCATCAACTGCGAATGGGTGCTCCATCGACTGGGGCTCTACCTGTAACTTATCAGCTGTATTGTTTGTTATTATTCTAGTGCAATTAGCCCATGTTTGGCAACCGATTCTACATGATTTCACCAAATTTCCTCTACTTCTGGGGTATTTGTTTTTGACTATCGTCGTATACACCTGACAAACAAGTATGGGAGAAGTACCTGAAAAGTCAGATAAGGATGTGAAATCACTTCCACAATGCAATAGGCGAAGACAAGGTAGTGCATTTTTTAGTATTTTGAATACAATAGAAATCATCCACTTAAAAGTCTTGGTGCCATCGGTAGCAGTCGGCGCTATTATTGGCAAAGGAGGAGAGTCCATTGCAAAGATACAGAAAGAAACTGGCGCAAGGATTAAATTATCGAAAGTAAATGATTTGTATCCCGGTGAGTTCCTCCAACTTTTTAACTGGTATAGTTTGACAGGTGTCTTAGTGTTTGTGATGGTTTTTCCGATGAACCTTCCCAACCTCCCTATTTTGGGGGAATATTGAAGAATTTCCCCAGATTTGGGCAAATTTTTGGGCTTTTGTGCCCTTCCCCCATAATCTTCCCAAAATTTCCTATGGCAGCTTTCCCAAAATAGGGAGATTGGGTTGTCATTCGACCATTGTGTGACAATAATTCCTTATTAGTTTAGTTCGTCTTATGGTATTATGTATGCTTCATGTCCACAGGCTGTTCCACATCTCATCACTGATAAATTAGTGCAGATATGTGTGTACATAGTAGTGAAGTGGGTTTGTAAATTCCTGAGCTATATACAGCTCATTAATGGTGCGTAAATGTAGTTGTAGGAGGCAAATTGTACCGTTTCCGGATCATTATGGGCTCTGCATATTCAAATCTCTGGGACATTTTGTGCCTATATTGATGCTTCAAGCCATCTTGGCCATATGGGTCCTTTACGTTTTCACATTACTCTGAACGATTAAAGTATATTTCCTTTTGAAATATTGTGCACACAGAATCACAACCCATTTGGTGTGTGCTTACCGTCTAGGTTTTGGCTATTGTAAACATTATTATGACCAACAAAACTACTTCTAGTTTTACTCCATGTATTGGTTGTAAATAATGATCCTCTGTTTCCTATTTAGTCAGATAAAGTAAAATACAGACACAGAAACTTCACTTGAATTCAATAATGTTTTCATTTTCTAAATAAACCACAAATCTTAGGTAAGCAACGCTTCAGGCTAGGGTTCCTTAGTTAGTACTTTGTGGAGTGTCCCATGTTCATTTGTAGACGGATTCGGAAAACGCAGTCATTGGTTACAAGTCATCTTAATTAAACTTGAGTAATATTTCCTCGAGTTTTTCGGTATACTAGTTTCACTACTCACACTACTTGTCTTAGACACTATTGGAATATTTGTGTTACTACCTAATCTGGCACAAATATTCATCTTCGGTTGCCACATTGTAATGACCAAAGGAAAAATAAAATATGTAACACATGAAGCACCATCTCTGGTTATTGAAGAGAAGTGTTTCTCCTTGTTTGTAGGGAAATCAAGCTGATACTTCAAAATGTACTCTTTTCAGACAAGTCCTGTTCTTTAGATGAATTCGGGGACATGAAGAGAAAATTGTTTAGTCAAAAGGGGTGGATATGGTAAGCCATATTTTTGTAAAGTAGGTGCAAAACGATAAACAGTGGTACCTAAGAGTCTTTTGTCGATCAACCTCTACTTTCCCTAAAGTGGGCGTCAAGTTAGGGTAATTCTTCCTCAATTTTCGTAAACAAGTAAGTTTAATCCTTCCCAATTCAGAGTCAGTTCAATCGAAAATGCACTGGTATTATATTTTCAAGATGGATTCAGTAGTGTTTTTAAAAATTGCATGAAGTATCGGAAAACATCTAACATGCCGTCAAGTTCTATACATTATAGTGGATTTATGAACTTTCGAGCGTACTGTTACCGATAGACTTCAAAATAACTTGTTAGACCGGTGGAAATTGTAATAAGCAATCGTGGTGATAGAAAGATGCTTGGTATGGATAATTTTCTAAATAGATCTAGTATTTCGATAACTAAATGTAATATATGTATCACTACAGGGTAGTCCGTAAAAATATTTTATTTACTCAACTTGTCGCATCCTTTACCAAACGGGTTTTTTAAATTCTAGTGATGGCATTCTCCCTCCTCCCTTAGCTTATAGTCTGATTCATATGTTTCGCTAGACCATAGTTTTTTAATGTAATAATTATTTAGATGAAACGTCCCTCAAATAAGTTAAATCTCGGGAAGCCCATGATACCATTCTAGTCGACTTGTTCTGCTTGACTCAATTATTAGTATTATTATAATGATTAAGGTCGCTTTTGTAAATGAATATGTCTCTACATGTTTGAGTTTACAAACCATAAGATTGTCAGTTTTGTAGCGACTCCAAGGTTGATAAAATTGTTTCAAGTAAAACATCTGTCGAGTTATTCTAGTCTATTTTAATGTTTATACATCCAGTATAAACCCAGTGCTTCGAATTTCCATAGTTACTGAAATACTTAAGCAATACAGTGCTAAGTAAGTTTTAATTGATTGTGAAATCTTGATTATAATGTTGCTATTTTCCACCAACAATCGAAATTATTAAGTCTAGAAACTCCTCTAGAGCAAACGTTTTAAATCCATGTTTTTTTTCTAACAAAAATCGTGTTTTTAAACTTTACGTCAAAATCTGATGACGAGTATACTTAATAGTTCTTGGGAAATGCTAAGCGCAAATTGTCGAAAAGTAAGAGCTGTAGACGATGAAACGATACATACTGTTTCAGTGATCTCTAGCAAAATATTCTTACAGTATCTTTGTTTTAGTCTCAGATGGACACATAAGCGACTAACGGTTTGGCTTACTGTGAATTAAGTGGCTGAAATAGCTCACTTTCTTTACGACTAGCTAGTCAGGCAATCCATGATATGGAACGTATTTGGTCTAGATGATTGACTATAAAGAGATGAATATTTGTTTTAATTTATGTTGAATTGAGTAGTATTATTTGTGCTTGCCGTAGAATATATTTTAACATCCAACTTTTAGGGACTGAAGAAAGAGTTTGTCTGATTCAAGGGACCTTAGAGGGTGTAACCCGTATGCACAATTACATTATGGATCGTGTTCTGGAAAAACCAGAATGTTCTGGTACTGCTGCATCATGTGTCACTACTAATACTATTTCAACTTCGCGTTCTGAAAATGTTGCTACCAGTTCTACTACTCAGGGTGACTCGAGTAGCAATATGCCACACTTGCAGAAGGGGTCTACTTGGTCTCATAGCTTAGAACTCTCAGGCAGTCGTTTACCATGGGGTCGACATAAACAGGCAAGTTCATTTCTTATTTTTGAATGTGTTTAGATTTATCCTGGTCTTACCACTCACTGTATTGCCTTTTCATAGTCTTCAATGTGTTACTGTTACTGTTTGGAAGTATCACTATCAAACAGTATTGACTTCCAAATTGTGTATCGTGAAGCTAATATGTCAATTTTATTTGCATAATGATATTTCAGATTGGGCCTGAAAGTGCCTTATAAATCCTTATATACTTTCCGCAGTTCCATTTTGACTTGTAGTATTCCCCGATCGTGGCGGATGCCTTGGCGCGATGGCCAAGGAGTCGAGTTAGGTTGGCTCAAACGATTGTTCTTAATTTGCCCTAACATGTCAAACAGTTTGATTACATTGTGGTTAAATCAAAAGCCTCGAGTTAAGTTTTTGGAGGACTAATTCGTATTGCTGACTGTAAGGTTTGAAAAGTAAGGAAACGATGCAACATAAGCCACTCACAAAGTCAAAACCGATTTTAAGCATAAACTGAAATATTGTTTGACCTGGTAACCATGGACAATGATAAGCACAGAAACCATGTATCTTTCAGTGATATTTATGGGCAGTCGGTAGGAGACTGTCGATTTTGGACTTCGACTATCATCTAATGCAACCACGGGTTTTCTAAGTCATATTCGATTATCCTCAGGCCTACCCACTTTCCTGATTTTTCTTAGTTGTGCTTTTAGAAATGACAAACTTTTCGCCTGTTGGCTTATGGTGTGAAGATGACACAGTTTTGCTTGATGGTGACTATCTTAATACAGCCTTATAAATGCTTTGAGTAGCAGCAAAAATTTGAGATGCATTTCCCTAACTGTAGTCTCAAGGTGTTGCTTCAGGATCTGCATTAATTTCTAGTTTAAAATGGGGGTTCAGTTAGTAATGATGCAAGCTTATATTGACTAAGGTGGTTGAGACACACGTAACGTATGTTTGACCATCACCTCGAAGTGTAATGCCCGTTGACACGCGAGTAGCTAGAGTTTCCCGTCAACCACCTCCAACCACAACTTTATTGATAGAATTTGATCAGCACTAAGAAGTTCTTAACATACATGACATTAGTCTGTACTTGGTGATTAACGAGTTTTAAATACTTCTGAGTCCTACAAGCGATCAACCGTATCCTATATAGCTCAGTGGCAGTATCTAACTGTGAATTTGGGTGACACGGGGTCAAACCTCCCAGGGATCACCACTCTGCTCAATATTTATTTATTTATTATTAGAAGCTTTATTCAACATTATATTTTTCGTACAACATAGAATTCTCAGCATAAAATATTTCAACAAGTTTCCTTTTCTTATATCTTGATCGATTGTGACGATAAATTTTGAATGATGACCAGTTAGATGTTAGGAGTTCGGTATTCCACATTTGATTAATGTTCATTCGTTTCAATGCATATTGCCAGCTACCATGATGTCGCTGATTGTACCTTTTTGTATTCCGTATAGCGAAAGGTTGTAAACTTTTCATAAACGCGCCTGCATAGATTGTGAGCACAATAGACATAATGATGTGCTAAAACAAACAACAAAACATATAACTTGATGAAATATCTAGATCGGAGGAACAGGTAGCCCAGATATTCAAGCAGGTACACCTCGCTGAAGAGTACCAGACAACACGAAACTTAGGCTCAGGATTTCTTGAGGACTATATTCAATCACCGGATTGCATGCTAGTAGCTTTCAAAATGGCTTATAATGGGCAGATTACTGTAGTAGTCCATTAATTTATTGGCTTTCAGTCTGTGGCATGTCGGTGGACACATAATTTTTACAATTGATTGATCACTGGGTGGTGATCAATGTCTTGCTTGTCTAGTCCTTATTAGTGCAGATCGAATGCTATCGATCATGTTGCAATGTGGCCACCAGTCTAGGTGACTCGACACTGCGGGCACTATGTATCGTGTTTTAGATTAAAAGATGTTTTATTGCAGTAATTGGTAATAAAAAGTTTACAGAGAGACACTAATTTTCCTCCTGAATTTAAGTTTAGTGTTATTTCATGTTTTCCATCATTCAGTCTCATTGTTTTGCATCATTAACGCATGAAAAAAGTATCTCACGGCTATGTACCTAAATCAATACTTCGCAGAAAGGCTGAATGTTCATCTGATTAATTTAAAAAACTACTTCATTTATTCACTAGTTTTACATGTGTCTTCTTCACATTAGCACATTTTTATCCATACACCATCATATATATATCCCCTGTGAAATTAATTTTTAACCCCTTTTCAATTATTTTCGGTTGAAGGTTAAGATCTTGGTTCCAAACTGCACTGCAGGTCTTGTAATTGGGAAATTGGGTAGTTATGTCCGAGAGATAAAAGACAGAACGGGGGCCTTTATACAGATTTCACAGAAGTCTGTTGAAATCAATTTATTGGAGCGCTGTATAACTATTGCAGGTGAGAAGCGGTTGTTTGTTTCAGATATTCATATCATATACTTCTTTCATCTTGGTTTTCAATTTAATGTACGTTGTATGATTTAAAATTATGTTTACTCAGTGTAATTTTTATACTACACTTCATTTGTACGCTACATTTCAGATGTTTTGCGTCAGTAAATTTACTTCGTTGAAAATTATTTCCATTTCTTCTTTATCAAACATACTTCAGTTGCTGTTCATTTTATTTCATTGTAGGTGAACCAGAGCAGTGTCGTGCAGCTGTAGATTTAGTTTTAGCCAAAATAGCCGAGGACCCCCAATCAGCCATCTACCCTGCCATTTCTTACTCACATGTACGTGGTCCTGTAGCGAGCGCTTATCCAACTGGATCTCCTTTTGCAATTATGCCATCTGTTCGATTCGATACAAGTCAAGGTTCACACTTACGCTTACCTCCTGGTCGTGGTACTTCTTGTGGTAACATCGAAGGATGGGATGATAACGTACCAAGTGGTGTTGGTTTTTCAGCCGTTGCTAATCCTTTTGGATCGTCTCTTTTCCATGCTGCGTTACTCCAGGTCCAAGCCGCGGCTCTGGCGGCAAATTTAAATACCACCGGTTACTACCCAACTCTGCCATCTGTAGATATGGCTCCAACTAATATGCCCACTTTGTTTACTCATGGACTATCTACAAATATTGGGTACGTACCACCTGAAGATGCCACTGTACTACCGCCAGCTTTGCCAGACTATGGGCAAGGATTCTGTTCAGCTACACCTACTGGTAATGTTCCTCTATTAGGTAGTGGAGGGGGTGCAAGTGGAGGCGGTTCTAATACCGGCGGAGGGAGTGGCGGACACGGAAGCACTTTATTGCAAGAAAGTATTTGGCAGATTGGTGATTCTCAAATTCAGACACCCACATGTTTTGATGCAGCTTATCCGGGACCCTTAAACTTCGGTTGGTTTCTTTAAACTATTTTGATCAGTTTGTCATTTAACAGGGAACATTCATTAGAGATTATCGGTTGGGGCCCTATAACCACTTTTCTTTTGATAAGAATTATGTTTCACTGTCAGTAACTACGTTTGTGAAAACTTCATTCCTGTATGCACGAATCGCTTTTATGAAGCATTCTGTATTTGTGTTAGTTGTCTAAAACTGGAGGTCACCTTGAATGCAATTCTATCAAGACAAGAGCATACCATACATTTGGTAATGATCGGTATGAATTTGCTGCCGTTGTTAGTATTTATATGACTAAAGAGTCCATATGATACGTCTATTTTAAAACATGTTATACAATTCGAAAATTTTACTGCTGCGTAATTTATCTCGGTATTCATTTCAAATCCATAGCACATATTTTTTCGTAGATTTTACTTTCCGGATTTACAATCATATTTCACGCTGGTCATCCAGAGGGTCTTCACATATAGATATTATCATTATTATCAGATCACCGACATTTAATACTCCATTTGCAATTTGGAGTAGTCCATTTATTTTTCGCTAACGTTAGGGTTATACTCCTCCTTATGTTGTATTTCAACTATTATTAAAAGTTTTCAATATTACCATAATATCTCGTTTCTCAATTAAGACCTATATGTTGTATAGGTATTGGTTGGATAATTACACCATTAATATCGAAGTTTTTAGATTTAATATACCATGACAAATAATTTATGCATGCAGTGTGTCTAACAGAATGGTAATTAGTATTGTAATTATATATATTTAAAGCAAAACAACAGTAGATTTTACCACATAGTTTCGCGGATTAAGAAGGAAATTCAGTATTTGGTTTTTGGTAACATGGCAGATTTAGATTTATAAATACTTGTGCTACTAAACGATGCTCCAGGCCTTTTGTGTTTATGAATATCCTTGTATCTGTTTAGGAAAATTTCCTTAAGATGCAAATTATTAGACGATTACTCGATCGCAGAACAGTACTTATTTCTGGGAGCCACGCATCCACAAGAAAACCTGGTTTTCCTATCAACGGTTTGGATTTAATGATAAATTTTTTGACGTACTTTGTGTAAAAATCCCCGTACAATATATTCGAAAATGAAGAATATTTGAGCGAACAATTGTTTTCAATAACTTCATCATCAGGCTCTACAGTTATAAGTCCATAATTATAATATTTTACAAAGGCCAAAAATAAGGCATGTATTAATGAATTTGACAATGTTATGTGTTAAAAATGGTGAATGTTTGCATTTGTTACGATATATATACTTCAAAATTGTATTATTTGCAAATTAGAAAGGTCATAATGATTTACAGTAAAGTGTCCAGTCACAATAAGTAGGATAGTATTATAGCAAAAATGAGAATGGGAAAAAATTGTGTGCATAAAATGCATAGTAGGAGAATTTAATCTTGTCAATTGAGATAATAGTAATATTGTTGTGTGAATATAATTTGTAATAAGGGGAGTGTTATCATGGTAATTATGATAAACGAATTGGGAATGATGGATGTGAAGATAAAGATAGAGGTAATGAAAAAAGTATTGAATGACCTTTCTAGTTTGCAAATAATACAATTTTGAAGTATATATAATAATAAATAATAATAATAAATTTATATCCTGAAAAATAATAATTGCAGAATTCACGCCAGTTTACAGGCATGATCAATTTGATATATCGTAACAAATGCAAACGTTCACCATTTTTAATACATATCATTGTCAAATTCATTAATACATGCCTTATTTTTTGACCTTTGTTAAATGTTATAATTATGGACTTATAACTGTAGAGCCTGATGAAGTTATTTAAAACAATTGTTCGCTCAAATATTCTTCATTTCTGAGTACTTATTTTTCATGAATATTTAGTAGTACTGTGAACATTTCATGATTGAGTGCAATTGTCCCTAGTTATATGGAATGGGAACCAGGTAGTCTCACTAAACACTTGAGATCAGACATGTAACATTTACTAATCATGTACATCTTGCATATTTTGGTCCTTCACGTTAAAAAAACTTAAATGCTAAGTTTTTCTCCTGAAAATAAATTATTTTGTTCACAAGTATCTTTTTGAGATGCAATGTGGTAATCCATATGGACCTTTATAAATTAAATGTATGTTAGGCCTTCAGAAAATTCTCATGATGTAATGATCTCAGCTTAGTGACATCCATTGTTTTAGACTCATAATAATAGACTTAGTACTCTTCGATCTACGTGGTAATCGTTAAACTGCAATTTTGATATGCAGCTTTATTTGAAACGCATTTCTTAGTCTTGTGTATAGTCAGTCCAGTCTAAAAGGTGGACACCATAATTCCAAACCTGGTAGTTTAAGGTGATGCTAGCAACAAAGACATGGTAGATTTGTATATTAAGCTCTTGGTTTCTCAATCACGAAATACTGTCTGGCTTTTCAAACCGAAGTAGACTGGGTGGTTCTTACCAGCCACATTGTGGTTGATAACAGAGAGCTTTAACCACAAAACTTCCCCAAGAATTGGTACCTGTAAGCAATCATTACATAGCGACGAAAACGTGTAGACTTTGTAAGACGTGTATACTTTCCTAGGACACTGTTAGATTTTTACTCGTATGGGAAATTGATTGTCCCTGTTAATCATAAGCAGAATTAACCTAATGATAATTCCTAATGCAACTCAATGATCAAGTGTAAAGTGACACTAGAATATAGGCTACTCTCTATGTGTAAAGTATGTTCAAATTTACTAAAAAATAAGCTTCTAAACTGTAAACGACAGGTATTCTTGGATTTGCATACTTGTAGCTTAATGATGTAAATACTGGATCGATACATTCCAGTTTTCGGTAACTGTTAAGGTTTGTGTTATCGGGTCTGGTATTTCAATGAAATAAGTGTCCAAGCGCGTCTAATCTTCGACCCGTTTTAGAATATAACAATAAACCTTAAAAAATTAATATTTTACCTAAGTTATTCATTCAGTTAACCATAATGGGTGTAGAGCCTGACATAAATGTGTAAAAGCTCCCATATCAAAACACTACAATAATATAAAACTGAAAGAGTTATAGTATGATTGACAACTAGATAAACTAAACGTGGTTCGAAAATAAGATGTGATGACATACTAAGACTCTAGCGGACCAGTAGCGAGTGGATGCGACTAGGAAGCTGTGCTTTGTTCTAGGTGATGTTACTATGTCTCCAACTATCGCTTGAACGTTAACGATGTATTCTGTAACTACCAGCGTGGCTCAGTCCAGCAGCCAATGACTTCATGAATTGATACCACCCATTGGTTAGACCGCCCCTAGTTTCCTTTGTACGTTGCGCATCATGGTGGGTGGTAGACAGACATACGTAACGCATTCCCTAACCACCTCAGCCATTGAAAATTCTCAGCCTAAGCAGCCGATACGCCATCTTTTCCTAGTGACCTCACACCTAACCTTCATATTGCACACTCGAATGTCCTACGATTCACTAAAAGTGCGTATTTCACTATGACCCCAACGGATTTTCCCTCTTTGTCTGATACGGTATTCTTAACCATGAATAGGAAGCTTACACAGTTCTTTCTAATTATTCAAAAATTCTATAACTAATTGTTTTCATCCGTAATCATACCCATGATTATTTTTATATTTTTCAGCTATTTATCCAACGAATCAGTCACTTTTAACTGCAATGGCTTCTAGACACCCCAGTGAATCATATCCATCTCATCCAGATATATTCGCACCATCTAGTCCATACATGACTGGTATATCTCAGCCATCATTCACGATTCCGTATAGTACTTCACCATCATTAATGGGTGGTAATGGTGGGAATCTTGTTGGTGTTCCTCAAATAGACCCAGGAAGTCCTCACTTTGCTACACTTTACCCTGGCATTTCTCCTTCTTTGTGTTTATCTCAACCTTTTCCTGTTGTTAGTTCGGAAATGGATGTAAAAGTTGCACCGATTAGACAACAACCACCAACATTGAATGAATTATTGGGATCATTGCGTTTGGGTTGTAAAACTGAAGATGTGGTATCTGAGATCAACCAAACATTCTCAACTCTTACACATCATGGATTTCTGAATATGGCTGGGTCAGGACCATTTCCCCTGATATCACCTGCAGGTTCTCAACCAGCTAGTTATATAGCACCTCTTCTTGCTACGCATTTACCGTCACCAACTGCAGAAAGTAGACCAAGTGTAATTTTACCAGAAGGTAAATCTTGTATTCCTTAAATATCGACTTTCAAAAATCACTATCGTACAATTCCGTAAGATTTCTTTCGTATTGAATAATTTCCACGTTTTGATATCTACAGATAAGATGATAATCACAATTTTTTCCGTATTCTTATTTTTAACTTCTTTATTTGTGAATTTTGTATAGCTTTTTGATGAAGTACTCCTTCATAGGTTTAGACAACATATCCTTTGATGTATATTAGTATAAAAATATTTTTCTGCATTCTTCATTTCTGAAACAGTAAATTCTACCAACCGCGAGAATTATATGTCTAAGGCTTATTCTTTTATAGGAACACTCATGTAGATGATTGGTACGTCCTGATTATGCTTGTACTTGAGTTCCTCGGAATACATAGCTTGTGAAATTAAGACAATGTATCATATATTTTTATTCAGGAATACGGTTCCTCTATTTCATAAAATTTTTTTCAACTTTAACTGTGAGTTAACTTTGATTCTAAACGAATTCTGCTCTTTTAATGAAATGACAATTTCATTACATTTTGTCAGATTCGTATCAGGTGTTTAAGACTCCTAGTATTTGTATGTTCAGTTATGGTAGAATGCATAATACTCTTCAGTGAATTTAAATTATTGGTCAGTTGGAAAAAAAGGAAACTATTCATAAATAGAAGTTAATATATCTTCATTTACAATACAAATTCAGGTTACAGCCTTTAATGTACTGAAGTTAAAATTGAGTTCATGTATTCAAAAGGAAGCAGTAATTATGGATGTACTACGTCAATAAATAATCACCATACTTTTTTTGCGTTCGATTACACCATCTTTCATTTTTTCCCGGTAAGTATCACAGCCAACAGACAAATCAAGTGACTTGTTTGGCGCATATGTATTCGGTGCCCCTTTGTACCAATATTTGTGTTCAAATAAATAAATGAAATAAATACAAGTTTTTTCCAATGGACATCATCTTTGATGTAATATGTAATCAGGGCAGCCAAACTGTGATTGTCTAATGAGTTATCGTTTTATTAGGTTAATCGATTTTCATCCAATCAACTTGATTAGCAAATGGTTATATATTTTAGTTATGTATATAGTAATTGAATGTTTATAAATAGTATTTTTTATGGAACCTATGTCAGTTAGCTATGATTGAGTCAGGTATGTCTAAATCATTTTTATGTTGTGCTCAAAATCATATAATTATTTAATTAAGTCAAATTCATAATCACTCTGTGGTTCCCATTATATTGAGTATCATAAGCGCTATTGATACCTCGTATGTTTTCTGTTGCTTATTAAACAAATGTAACATGATTTGATCAAATAGTTCGATAGACAGTAACGGACAATCCAGACTCATTTTATCCAAATTATTTTATAAGCCAAAAAAAGTTGAAGATTTGTAGCTTATGAGGAGAATTTTGGAGGTATTTTGCCGTGAAACTTTCATTCACTTTAAACACTATCAGCACCATAATTCAAAAGGAAATGACCTATTAGGACTTCTCTAAATGTATTTCATCAACTGTTCTATCCATATTTAGTCATAAATAAACTATACACACATTCTGCTTGAATTGTTTGAATATTTAATATTCGGATATTGTAATTTGTAAACTGCTGATGCTAATCTGATTAAATGAAATCAATTTATATTGTTTTGCTCAATTCGTTACTCTTACTCTTCTTGATTTTATCAACACGGTTTACTTCGGAAAATTCTTCTGTAAAAAGGAATCAATAGGAATTCGGGTAGTCTGGACGACAGTTTAATTCCCTACTGGTTCATTTCAATAGTGCTCAAAGTTTTATTATGTTAGTTCTTAACACTTATGAGCGTTTCTGCTCATACATAAGTTTAGTATAGTTATTGAGTTATATTGTAAGCAAACATTGAGAATTATTCTTGTCAAATCTTTAACTTCATTCATTTGCTCAGATAATTCGACCAACTGGTTTGTTGGAGTGCGTCCATCTACTGTTCCGGATACTAGTTTCATGAGAACTTCCAAACATACACCTTCACATTCAGAATCTACTAGTAATGTTTATTCACATAATCAAAGTTTGGGTGTTCCTGTGAAACAAAATCAATCATATTCAGAGTTAGTCTCAGGCCATGAACATCATCCTGATCAATCGTTATGTTCACAATCCTCTGGGTGTATTCCTGCTAAAGAAGAAAACGTAATACACACATTCCCTTCCAAATCACATGATGCACCGTTTTGTGAATTCAGTGCGTCATCATCAGCCAATGTTGATGTTGGTATGTTTTTATATGTGCACAATTTGAAATATTTGTAGTGTTTTCAAAATATTTAATTGGTTGTTCCGGTTTTGAATTAACTGGATAATGAATCCAGTTCCGAAAAAAATTGTAATAGACATTGCTTACTTCAATAGCAGGTTTTAAAATTTTATGGAAAGTGCTATGCAAGCTTGGTAGTTGTTAAGTCTTGATGGACTTATCCGATAACTTTCTGATCACCAGGTTTTTCAGCCTTCGCGAAAAGAATTGTAAGTGCAATACTATACGCTGAATATTCCAGAATACGGTTGACAGTTGTTAATATGGGGGGTATGCACAGAACTTCAGTATTTATAAAGAGGGCGTCTCGATAAGATGTGTTTGCCACTCATAGCATCCTGTTAGCGCAGTTATTGGTGTCTGATACACTCGTTTTACCAGTAGCTAATTGCAGTATAACCCATTTCAGTACAAGCTTGATTTGTACAACACGATGTGCAGATTTTTAGTCAGGTTTATACCAAATATATTGGACTATAATAAGTTATAATCCATTGAAATCTGCATAGAATTGTCTCAATTTCGTGACAAACCTTCCTGTTTACTATCATGTCCCATTTTTTGAACTATTTTTTGTAGATTCTTACTACAATTAACCCTATTATTCCCACCCCGTACTCTCTTGCCTTGACCTTTGTGTAGTGATATGAGGTTGTAACAATTCTTACTGCTTCATATATATACCTGACTCTGTTTTGTCATCATTGGAAATGTATTCAATAGACGTTTGTCAAAATTTGTTTGTATTGACTGCATTTTGTCTAAAATCTTTTTAGGTGACAACCCCGTGGCATCTACTACTCTTACTGAAGTTAGTAAAAAACAATCTCTATCCAGTTCTAAAGACGTTGTTTGTTGTTGTAGTTGTCCTGTTATTGGTGGTAGCTCACTCAGTATCCATACAACTTCTTCAAGTCCTTCATTGGGATCGTGTACTTGTTCGAGTAAATTAAATTTCAATGATTCATCAACAGGGTGTCAGCAATCAGAACCTGTAGTAACTGATTCTCCCTCAACCGAAAGTAATATTCTACAAGGAAGCAAAATGTCTTCTGGTAATGAACAAAATACATCACCGTCGCATCAAATTAAAACGGATAGTTAATCATATCGTAGTGTCATGACTAAATGCATCTAGTGGATTAGCTAGCTAATTTGGTAAGTATCACTTTGTTCTTGTCACCAGTATTTAGTTATATGTTTGGAGTTAAGTACGTCTTTGTTACCAGTTGTGTATATATTGATTTGGTAACTGTTCTACAATTTCTTTATGAGGTTGACTCTATTAACATGTAGGTAGTGGCAGATTGTTTGGATGTAGTTCAAATAAATTTTGTTTAATACAGGCATATTTTTTACTGTATTTAGTATTCCAGTCGGTGTTCATTTTCAAGTCAAAATACAAATTTCCAATGATTTTTAGGCATGAGCATAGTGATGTTCTTTCTAAGAAAGCTAATAATCAGTTAATAGGGAGGTTTGTAATTCTGAAGAGGTTGTTCATCTATTTGGCTACTATTCTGATAGTAACTATTAGAAGTACATAATAAATAGGAGCTCACTTTCTACGATAACATAATATTGGCTAAAAATCAAAGAAAAGCAAGAATTACTCATGTTTTATCGCAGTAGAAGTCGCACGAATTTCATCACAACATAAAACTATGCATTCGTTTGTTGTTTATGATAAAATAGCATACTAAGTAAACTCTGTACTTTTTTTGATATACCATCATTCATTTAAAGTTCAAATCATTTAAAGTAAATAAAACAGATTTTCCATTACTAAATGGTTTATTACCAGTATTTCTAAATTGTTTTTTTCTCTAATTTCATCTGAAGCTTGACGTATCTCTAAAATAGTATACACAATTGGGGTAATCTGCAAATTATATGGACATCTCGCTCAGACACTTGTTTTGTATCGATGATTATCTTTGCAGAATAATCAGAAATTCAATTTGACGATATACGAATTTAGTTTTTGGATGTTGAAGTTATGAATGTATTGTACTGTGTACAGTAGTCTTCAATTGTCAAGTGCTATCAGCAGAGATATTGTCACAATTTTATATCATACTTCCCCGCTCACTTGTTGCAGATCGTAGCTTCAAATAAAAACTTGGAAAATTGTTTACAGATTGAAAGATGTGAGCCCTAATACATCCTGTTTTACTCCTCTGCTTAATGTATGCATATTTATATATCCTGCATACAAGTTCGGTTTTATCTTTCACTTAATATCGCATAGATACTTCGCCCGGTGTCTTCGAAATCCTTGTATCCTGATTTCTCTATTTTTGTGTCCATACTTTTCCAGCACCTATCTTATGTACAGATAACTTTTGTTCTCTAAACATTATTCGGACAAACAAATTTTATCGTTGCCCAAACTCTTCACTACGTATGTCCACGCCACTAGAGCAATGGAAAAGATAATGATTCTAGATGATTTTTGTAAATTAAAACCAGATCCATCTTATATTTATCTCATTCGTTTTTCTTCTAGTAAAAATGTCTTACGTTTTTTGACAATTACTATCTACTGAGGTTAGTTTCACCACCAATACTTCTGTCTAGGTTATTTTTAACTAGTTGTTGTGAAATGTACCATGCGCGAATGCTTAGAATGACTATTTCTGTGATTAGTTATATTCCAATTTTCAGACAGAAAGTTCTAGTGGCCTTAACTCCGTGCATCATAATTTGTTTTGCGAGAGCCAGGGCTTTCTTGATGAATATTTTGGGTAGATTTGTTGTTCGTATATAGTAGCTTATTAATAGAAATTCCTGAACTCGTCTGTTGCATCTATGTATGATAACTGTTTAGTTGATATTTGCCGTTACGTCTTTACCAACTTATCGCTTTTCCTCTCCCTTCTCAGTTTATTTATCAGCGCCTCGCGTCGCTAGTCCGTGTTATGTTTCTTTCATTTCCGATTTATTGCATTTTGTTTTGATTAGTGTAACGAATTTTTGTGATAAGCATATGTATCAAATTCTTGGAAATCTTTTTTCGCCATGAAGAATAAATATATCAACTATCTTATAATCTTAGTAACCAACATTACTACTGATAATAATTCATTTTCTTATTATTTATATTTACAAATATCTCAATTATGTTGTTTTTTCTGTTAAGATTTAATTGAACAGATTTACTTAATTTTACTACACACAAAAGCATCGCAGCAATAATTATTCTTTCGTCGTGGTTCATTCTGTTAACTTACTGTATTAGCTGCTTCGTACCTCGCAGCTCATTTCCTCGTTTCTGTAGAAAAGTAACTTATTTTCCTACTTATTTAAATGTACGCATACAGATCAACTACTTAAGTTATTATTAAGACAATTTGTTTTAAGATATTACTTCGTTGTCAGTTCTTATGTATAACAAAGAACATGTGTAGTTTATAACCCTAACATACTTCTTTGTATTTTGATTTTGTCACAACCCTTTGTTATTAACAAACTTATGGGTAAAAGGGACATGTATATCATACAATGAAATGTTGCTCTTTTTTGTGTTCTTACTGTGTATATTGAACACTGCTTCACCTTTCTTTCCGCTCAGGCTATTTTTACTCTAGATTGTGGTATTTTTGTGCCTAGGGAATTGTTTCATTTATCATCTTCTGGCTGTGAATTAATCAAGCGCCCTAATGTACGTCTGTTATAAAGATAAATATAGATAGATCAGTATTTCCTTAATTTATATTAGGAACAACGTCGTACATGTTTTGCTCAAACTTTTACAACATACTGTTTTATTTGAAAAAAGACTTTTAAACTATACACTTCTTGAAGAAGTACACCGTGCCTAAGCTTTTTCAATTATTAGTGAGCATTAATAATAGTTGATTAATATTGAAGTAAGTCAAATGTTTAACACAAATACCTGATACAAATATTTTATGAGTACTATACCCAGCGATCATTAAGCAAAACTATTTTTGGGTGACTAATTATCCTGCTATTTCCTTATTCAGATTACCTCACGCGAAAGTTGACTGATAACAATGAATTTTATTTCTTTTTGCAAAACTATTTAAATAAAGTTGCCATAAAACTGGCACAAGCATGCATTTGTGTGCCATAGTTTGCACCACGTACATATGTAGCAGATTTGGTAGATCTATGACATTTTAACGTACAAAAACGTTGAATTTTCCTTTGCATTTGTAATTATACATTCAACGCATACAGTTGTTGCGATATGCGACGCATGAGGATATTAAGCATTTGCTTAGTCCTTACCTTGTTTAACGAGTACTGTGTTGATGAAATAACTCGGTAAATTAACACAAAAGTTTATTTTTTTAAGTAAATACAACTGAAAATGCAGTATTATTTCCACATCTGTACACGCAACTTCTTAGTTATTCTGATATTTTGGTTGATGTTCTTGGTTCGATTAAGTGCTTCCATTTTTCAGAAACTTTCATACGATCCCATAAATTTTTCATTTGTCTGATCTCATTTTCACTTAATATGGGTTTCGTCACATTCTTTTGGAGTGAATCAATCATTTGACAAATATCGGTACTCGTCAGGGTTTCTGGGATAGTTAATTGTACCATGTCATCCGGGTTGAAAATAACTATGATGGAGAAAATTTGATAAGGAACTATGTCGTCAGCTTAAATAATGTATTTTATTTTACAGTAATGTGGATAGATTCATGTAACTACACGTGCTGCCAAGGCTACAGCTTAACTAGAACACAAAATCTTTATAAGATCTATATGAAAAGCAGTTGTAAGAAATGTAAAAAGGATACAAGCTGTGATGGAGTCTTGATTAATGGTGAACTTCGTCTTCGTGAATTTTTCGTAGACCGATAATTTCGCCCTTAAAGAAAAATAATTGGGCGCGATTATTAGATACTCACAAACATCAAAGATAGGCAGAATGGCACTCATTTTAATGCATGTGGGGCTATTCAATTAATATTGCTTGGGAGATTCACAGTAGTAGTGTGTCAGCAATTCACAAACATCCGTTTATGCTGGAGTTCGAGCTATATGTTAATGTTTAGTTTGAGTACTTATTATAGTTCAATTCAATTTCCAATATATAGGTACAATTCTTATTTCACATCTGACATAACGTTTGGTCAAGAAGAATGCTAAAATTTTGCTATTGCTACTAGTCGAGTCCTGTTTTCTTGTACAGATGTCACCAAGATTTTGCTTAGAATCATGAATGTGACTTAGCAGTAAATAAACTTTGGTTGTACAGAAATATTGTTTTCAGACACTTGTAATCGGTTCCTTTATGTAAAAAAGGCACAAAAACTGTACGACTTAAGCATAAAGGGAGCAAGTCTATAGAAAAATAGGGGATGAAGATAATTATCATAGACTAATAATGTTTTGAGGAACTGATTAGCACGTCTGCAATTCCCTACACTGCTCAAAACGATAGCTTATGAAATAATAGATTTAGAAGCCTCATAAAGCGTGTTATAGTGTAGCCAACAAAACATGATAGACATTGTATCGATAGGAACAAACTAATCAGCTTCGTTGGAAGCCCAAAGTTACTGTACTCATTAGACAAATCTATATTGACGGTTGGTTCAAGGGTATCTGAAGTGTGCATTCGAAAGTCCGCGAAGGAAACAACATGCAGATGGAACTAACCTCCATTTGCTCTGATGCTCAATAGCTTTGAAATAAACAGTGGAGTTCACGATTATTGGGTTTCAATCATGTCTAACGCAAAGCTAACCGACTGACTCGGATTGTTGCGCTATTACCTTTCTACCACCGGACTCTAAGAGTACCTCGGAAAGTCGTTTACCTGCTAAAATTCGACGTGAAACCACGTTGGACGGAGATTGATTATAGTAGAAACGTTACTAATAAAACAAAAAAATATGAGACTAATTACTTGGCAGTTTTCAGTCTTAAGTGGTGTTCTTTTTTGGCAATTTCCTTTTCAGATAAGTCTGCATTATATCGGGCCACACTCTGCTCAAGTTTTTGTGATAATCGCTCACAATCCCGTTTTAATTCTTCATCTTCGAAACGTAGATTATCTAATATGGACTCAGCAGTGGTGATAGCTAATTGTAGATCCATCTGAGAAAGATCGATAGGTAAATGGTCTAGATGAAATAAGATAGAATTAGGAATACGGTTAAGAATGATACCAGAACGTAAAACTATTACAAATATCGAACGACTCGAATAACCAGATTACACTCAGCATCGCTAAATTAAATTAAAAAGGTTGAACAGTATGGAAGTCTGCAAACAACTAGTGTTAGTGAAAATAGCGAAAACTCGAGCAATCAAAGTTACGAAATAGCATTTGATTTCTGGATTTAAATGGTGATGATCAAATAACATTTTGACACAACTACAATCGTCATTTACCATATCATCCAAGACCTTTAACTATAGTATATGGAGCGTATCTTTTACTGTGACCACTTTTACAACAACCAAAATCGGCTACTTATTTGTTAAGAAGGCAGAATGAAGAAAGGTGAATATGCACTACGTGCATAAATTCAAAATATGACAGAAAAATTGATTTCATTTGTACCATAGGAGTGAGTTTAAAACTCCTTTTTTAATGCGATAAATGAATATGACCCAATTCTGTTACGGTTATTTTAGTACTTGTATATGAGGCCTAATCGCTGAACCGTCGGATGATGACAAACAGTCATAGATGATGTTACATAAACATTCTGCAATATCAAACGCTATAATGTCTAAAAGTACAGTTGTTGGACATTTATTCAAAAGTGTTTTGTTATTATTTCCAAAGAACTCGAACAGAAAGGGATTAAACACACAAGATCCTGATAAATTCTAACGCCTTAAGCCCTCCATGGATCTTAGAAGTTAATAAAAATTTTTAGTTTCCTGACACCTGATTATAGTACTGGCAAATGTATATTAAGCAGATCGTGTTGTGTCAATTTTTTGGTGTTTGATTAGTTTCTATCATTCAGAAGAATAACTTCTGAACATAGTCCTAACATGACTGGAAATAGATATTGATATAAAACGTGATGACCCAAAAAGTAAGAATTAAAATGTCTGTTCATAAATTCAAAATGTTAAGGTACTTAGTGCTTACCAGCATTCAAAAAGTCATCTAACTGACTGACGGGATTCAGTCTTAAAGATAACGAATCATTTAAATGTTTTTCTACAATAGTCTTGATGGCACCAACCTGTTCACTTAAACTGACCATTTCTTGTAGTTCGAACTCTAGCACGGTAGTTTGAAAAACACGTAAGACCAGCAGATAAGCAAACTGGACAGATGAAACTGAAGTGATGTATCTATCAGTAACAAAATATAGATTTTACATGAAAAACACTTATAATTGCCTTTCAGAAGAAAAAAATTAGTTGATAAGAACTAAACAAATATTTTACAGATGATAGGACCGAAAATATTTTGGACTATCAGCTGATGAACTAGCAGTTCTACCGAACCAGACCTTGATTCATGCTGCTGAGTTGTGCGTAATCTCCTATTCCTGCCACATTATTTGTGTGGAGATTGACATTTGTCTTTCCAAACCGAAATACGTGGTAAGAGGTTGAGCACATGATCTGCTATTTGGAATTCCAACGCCCTATACACACATCTATTGCCGAGGTCACATGGACATGGTAATGTTATCGATGACAGATATTCTCACTATTTGATGGAGTGTCACTTACCGACAACTGAGTATGGAAAAGCCTTTGGACCTGCTGTATGATTCCAGCTTCTTTCGAAACACAAAATGTTAATAGATTGTAAGCACTGCTTTTTGTGTGCTATCAGCAACACTGATTGTCTTGCAGAGATCTAGATTTTTGAACGGCTCATGTAATACAAAAGATAATTTTTGTATATACTTGAGGTCGATACGACTCTCCAGGTAAAGCATTCGCAATCTCACTTGTTAGTTCTTTCTGAGCTTTGTTAAATTTTGCTGGTAGTAAAAATGAACAAGGATAGTCGGATCGAATAACTTTACTTGCCGTCATTGGTGTTATAAAGACTAGTAAACTAATACCCCCATCGTTCTCCATGGTTTCTTCATAGACCTTTTAAGATTTTAATTTAAAAACTCTCAAATGAGAATATTAGTCTCCCGATTTTTTACTACAACTATACAGAAACCTAAGAATGAAACATCAAATATAAAGCCATAACGTATTAAGTGAATTAAAACAGTAGGGATATTCATATAAGCCACAGACAACAAGTTAAAATGATATAACGGCACAAGTAAATTACAATAATGGAAAAATTTCGAATATGTCACAAAATAGCAAATAGTATATATCGGCTGTTTCAAACAAGCAGGAATGTGAAACAGTTTACAAATTTTCGAAAATTTAATAATATTTTTCTTGTTAGTCCGAGTACACTACAATCCATTACTATCAGTTATTTGTACCATTATAACTTTTAGTATTTGTTCGGCGATTGCAGGAATATCTGAAATATTTTAATGTGGATCTCAGTGTAGAGGTAAATAAATCTTCAAAATAAATAGCTCTTTTAATCTTTGACATTGTATTCTGGTCACGTTCGTTTTAATGGACTCACCTAGCTGAAGGAGCTCAGTCATTCATCCGCACAAGATCACGAGTGGGAACGCTGTGTCCATCATCCCCTTCAATCACCAGGCAGATTAGATCAGTAGATCCTCGATATATTGATAGCCTGTGAATTATATCTTCAGACCTCCTCGCTTCTAACTTTTGATTTCACTAAGTGGGTACGATTCATATCAGGTGTTACTGGTTAAAGCGTTGTCAAACTCCAAATACCTGTGGCTGGACTGAATGTTTT